ATCGATATTATCTCATGTCTGAGTGTGGAGAATATTTTCCTGAACACCACCTCAGAAGAGAAGAAGGAAACAGCAGAGGCCGCCCGTCGCGATTTATACCGCCGCGAGGGTGACCACCTCACGATGTTGATGACTGTGCGTGTGTATGCCGCTGAACAGGCCGACCGCAAGGCATGGGCAGAGCGACACCTGGTATCCCACCGGGCGATGCAATCAGTCATGGTGAGTAGTACCTATTTTCCCGACGCCAGTCTCATTCAAACTAACCAAAAATTACTAGGACGTCCGCAAACAACTCCGCACCCAATGCCGACAGGCCAAGCTACTCACCAACGAGGCCTTGAACAATACCTCACTCCACGACCCCTCACCCATCCTCATTCTCCAAAGTTTCTTAGCCGGATTCGCCACCAATACGGCTCGCCTCGTGCCCGACGGCAGCTATCGTACGATCGTCGGAAACCAAACTGTTGCCATTCACCCGTCAAGTGTGCTTTACGGCAAGAAGCTCGAGGCGATTATGTACAATGAATTCGTGTTCACCAACCGCAGTTACGCGCGTGGCGTTAGTGCGGTGCAGATGGATTGGGTGGGAGAGGCTTTGGCTGGGAAGGATTGATCGTCGGCTCGAGATACTATATTCTAGTAGACTAATATATACCCCGTGAGCGATGATACCAGTTTGACATCTTTTCACTTCTCTGTATATCTCTCTTGGCAGAAATCTAAAAATATCCCATGACACCTCAAATATCAGGCACTGAGGGGGTCAAGGGAAAGGGGGAGGACGGTTTCTAATAAAACAAGAGATCCGTCGGTGTGTATTAGTAGGGTTTGAGAAATATCAGGTTAAACGATGTGGCTGCTATTATCCTAATGTTATTTCTAGTCGCGTCGAGTTTACCTTCTGGCTGATCTGCAGATCTGCAACCAAGCTGGAAATTACTCTACTACTTAACGATCAGACAGTGGGAATAAGACCATTAAGCAACCGTTTCGCTTCAGAAAAGGCAACGGCTGAACAAAATTTCTAGCTAGGAACCTCCGGGGCTGGATGAGACTCCGTATAGCAATCAACCAATCATCGCGGATCCCAGCTCCTTATATATATATGTATCTGCCAAGCCCAACCCAAGGGTTTCCTTCGATCTATTTATCTTCGACATTCGACTATTTTGTCTCTGGGGATCGTGAACAGTCACCCTTCTGAGTGATTTAAGCCGGAACTTCAGCCGAACATGTCTCCTATGTTGGCGGGTTGCTATCTGTCTCAAGTACAGGGGCAACCGCCCAGGTGAGGGGTATTGTTTAGTGCGCAAGTGAAAGCACGATAACATGGTATTCTTGGCGATGGCATGCTTGCCAGACTGATATCAAAGTACGGTGTAGTAGATTTTTCCTTCGAAAGACCCATCTTGTTAGCTGTTGATAGCCAAATGTGACTGGTGGTAAGTTCACACGTCACTGTGTCGATCTCCGGTGACTGTCAGCTGATGAGGGAAGATTATGGCTTCAAGCCGTACAATAGGGAGATAGCCCTCTTGGTACTAATAAAAGTAAAACCAAACCAAACAAAAAACACGACGGATCAACAACTTGAAAAGTGGTCTCACCATTCCGATACCGGTTGCATCATTGGAGATCTTTCCAAGGTTGGGCGGTCCCCTTTTTGGATCTTATCAGCTAATCTCATCGACATCACCACCTGGACACTTGGGCAATCTTGTCCTTTTCTTTATTTATGGACTCGGACCCTTTCCACTATTTCTAGTATTACTTCTAATACTTATTATCTTCTTTATATTCTCTAATCCCACTATTCCCCACTTGAACGGCGTTGACCCTACTGATCTTTGGATCCACCGTCAAACACCTGTGGACGCTTATCGTATCTATCCTATCCTATCACCTATCGGCTTCAGCGACAACCACAACAACAAGATGGCCTTCCAGGTCCCAACACACGTCCCTCGCCGGAGAACTTCCTATTCTACCCCTCAACCACCGACCCTCAACATCCCCTCCTCCTCGCCGGAACAACGCGATGACGACACCGCACAATGGGTCCTATTCTCCCCGACCGCCCGGACGCACACGACTTCAACCGATCGCACGCAGACTGTAGCTCCTTCTCGACTGAGTGACTTCGGCTCCTTCGCTGCAACCCAGTCCGTATCTGGCGTTGAGGGTGAGGCCGATGACGAAGATGCCCTTGACGACCAACTGGACGAAGATGGAACCGAACTGGACAGCCTAGACGATGGACTACACGCCTTTCGAGCACCAGAGCTGGCCCCGGCTTCCCCAATACGGTTTGATCAGGGGCCGCCCGCGATGCTACCTGCCCATGACGGACTAGGTAGTTTCCAGGCCTCGAGTCAGGCCGTGCAGGAACGGCTGTGGCAGCATGAGCAATACAACCCCCAGCGGCCCTCATATGGCCGTCTCCAACATCGCCGTAACTCAAGTGTGCAGAGGCATTTGGATAGCATCGAGGAAGGCGAGGCAAATGTCGAGCGAGAAAGGTGGCAGCGAATCGAAGAATGGCGGATGGACCAGAGCCGGGCTCTGTTGCAGGAGATCGAACGGGAAACCCGACAGAGGCGGTCTAGTCTGGCCAGCCGATCGAGCCTTCATCGCTCGGTTGATCGAAGCCCCCAAGCTCGTGTGCCCGAGATCCTGTCACGGGATATATCGCTGTCGAGGGATGTTTCGGAGGACGAGGAATCTTTCTGGCGCCGCATCACACGAACGGTGATCCGTGATCTGATCGGGATCGATGATTCCTTGCTCTCCGTGATCTTCGGTGAGTCGTTGCCGCTGGACGCGCAACCTCATACCCAGGAAGATCCATTAGACATGGAAACGGTACTGGCTCGTGAACCAGAGCCAGAGTTTAGCGACTCGCCACTGTGGCAAACCAAGGTGCTTCAGACGATCGCCCACGAGCTCGGGATCCTTGTCCATCAACTTTGCGAACACCCCGGTGCATTTACAACATATTATGAAATGACTAAAGATATATCCGCCGAATATGCGGGGATGTCTCTCAGCCGCCTGGCGGAAAGCGGTATCTCTCAGAAACCCGCCGAGTCCACCGCATCAATTACCGCCGATACAACTGGCGATTCCATGCCATCCCCGCACTTCATTCCCACACTCCGAGACGCAAATCGAGAGCACGAAGCACAATGGGGCATTGAGGATGAAGATCCAAAACGATCTGACCAACTCCCCGAATCAACAAGACTCCAACATGAATCCGAGTACTGGGAAAGCGGACTTGATGTAATGATGGTATTCCGCTACCTCCGCAATCGCTTCAGCCGCCGAGGTTACATGACCAACGAAGCGCACACACCCACCCCACCCCGCCCGCGGCAAGATGCATCCCGCCGAGCAGCCATCATCCGGCAACATCACCCTCTTGTAGCGCGAGCCCACTCCCGATCCCAAACCCAGACCCGTCGCGCGTCACAATTCTCCGGTGTATCAAACCCAGCGGGTGTCTCCTCGCCACTCCTGCGACCGCATCCCCGACGACCTAGCTCCAGTTGCGCCAGCCAGAGCGCCAAGCTCTCGGCTATTTCCAGTCGGCGGACCATGACAAGTTCTAGCCGAAACTACTGGGACATTGGCGGCAGCGAAACCAACAGCGCCATTGGTGTTGGAGCGGGGCTCGGCACTTGGGGTGAGGTGTGAACAATTGGATACTTGCAGAGCACATGATGCATATATCGGAGTGGGTAAGTGGCAATGTTATTTTCAGGTATCGCTTGCTATATATGGGCTGCATACTGTTTCATGATCATTTGACGAACTAGCAATTTTTGGTTTCATAGCTTTTGTTTATACCTGTGGATTATGGCGTGGGTGTTTGTTATTCTCGGTCTCTTCTCTTCATGTATTGGAACGCGAACATACGATATACAATCTTGTCCATACTCTATACATTTCGGCTAGAAGGTCCACCGGTGGGACAAATATGTTAGGCTTGAGCAGTGGGTACGACAAGCTACCTGATTCACCATTACCCAGTTCTCCGCACTTGTGGAACGGTATTCAGCGTAAAATGTTGAACCCCGGCAGTCGTTCACTTGATCTACTCAGCCATAGCATAGAGCTCATTCAAACCTGGCCATTTTCATGGTTCTTGCGGGTACAAGCTTCCACTACAGAATCCAGAATTCCGATTTAACTAAACAAATCACTTTGCCGCAGCACTCCCAGGAAGATTCCCATTAAAGATAGGCTGTCCCTTACTTCCAGGCGCATCGACATCAAAGTCAACACCATCCGGTACCTCGAATCCGGTTTCGAGATGATGTCTGACGAAGAGCAACGAAACACCATCCCGGAATAACCAAGCATCTTCCGTCTTATGCTGCCATTCCCTGGCACAGCCCTCATCCCCTTGAGAACGGGCTAATATTTAGGATCCTTGGTAAGATTGCGAATTTATTTGGATCAGCTTGGATAGCATATAGCCCCTTAGCCGGATGGAAGAAGCAATCTTTCAAAGGTGTTGACTGAATCATCTTAGGACTGTACTAGCATTTTAGGTCTCCCCCCATGTCAATGAGCGATGTATATGAGCCGCAAATGGGAAGTCGAGATAAATCCACCACTGTGGTACTTTCGGTGACCGATCTAGGCTCCAGCAAGTTGCACAAGTTGAATGCCTATGTAAAAACTAGAGTAAGATGATGTTCCGTTCCAATATGGAATGCGATACGTTCCCCAGTTCCAATAGCACGTCAAAGTTGAAGTTCCACACAAAGCGATTGTGTGATCCCATCCCACAGAAAATGCTGAAAACTTACCACGATTGGGTAGCGAACGGTGTCCCGAGCTCCCGTGGATAGAAACACAGCATGATGTTGAGCGACTTTCCAACGAACACTTCACATGTGAAGTCTGAGAGGGAGCTGTCTATAAACATGGTACGTATGAGGAGCGATGGCCCTGTTTTGTGACTATGCTCACTTCTTCATTTGACAATGGCCGCAACAACTCTGAATATGTATGACTTTATTGTGGTGGGTGGTGGAACTGCCGGAAACGTCGTTGCAGGCAGACTAGCAGAGAACCCCGACGTGGAAATACTTGTGATAGAAGCTGGAATTGGGTAAGTATTCCACCTAGCAGTCACCCACTCAACTAACATGGTGATAGCGATCCTGACGATATCCCGACGATTACAACGCCCGCTCGTGCATTCGAACTCCGAAACAGCAAGTATGACTGGTCCTATCAGACAACCTTTGTCGACAAGCCTGACTCCGAACGCATTGAGAAACCAAATACGCGTGGAAAGGTCCTTGGCGGGAGTAGCAGCCTAAACTACTTCACCTGGATCCGTGGCAGTCGGGAAACATTTGATGCGTGGCAGGAGTACGGCGGTGATGAATGGACATGGGAAACGTGCAAGCACTATTTCGAAAAGGCATAACATACATCTGAGTATAACTGGAGTGATATTTGCTGACAACCTCTTCCTTAGCCGGCTTCATATCACGATGATGAAAGAGTATACGATCCACGATTTTCCAAAATCGCACGGGAGGGACCACTCCACATTTCCCACGCCACTTTGCTACCAGAAACCGGCGCTTTCCGAGATGCTCTAACAGAAGCATGGACTAGCAACGGACATGGAATAAAAGAAGACATATACAATGGCAGGTTGGAGGGACTTACTCACTGTGTTAGTACAGTGTACGAGGGTGTCCGGTCAAGCAGCGCAGTATATGTGATTGGGAAAGAAAATGTGGAGATAATGCATTCCACTGTCGCAACAAAGATCAACTTTGAAGGTGATACTGCCGTGAGCGTCACTGTTGTCGGGACACAAAATGGCAACGAGGCCACATTGAAAGCAAAGAAAGAGATCATTATTGCAGGCGGGGTTTTCGAAACACCTAAGCTACTGCTTCTCTCCGGCATCGGTCCTAGACGTGAGCTGGCCCATCATGGCATTGATCCTGTGATAACGTCTGAGCACGTGGGAGAACATCTTCTTGACCATCCTATTCTTCCACATGTTTTTAGACTAAAGGATGGCCATGGTCTGGATCACGTTCTCCTTCGAGGGGGACCTGACCACGACGCTGCCATCAAGCAGTATGACAAGGATAAAACGGGACCACTCGCTAGTGGCCACCTCGAGATGATAGCCTTCCCACGCATTGACAAGCAACTCGAACAACATAAAATGTATCACAAAGCCAGGGCAAATAATTGGGGTAAAGATCCTTTCGGACCTGAAGGTCAACCCCATTTTGAGATCGATTTTATTGTATGTGGATAGTCAGCAGCTACAGAGACACATTTGCTAATTCGGCCAGCCCATTTTCTGTGATACATTCCAGTGGCACTTTGATATTCCACCTGAAGGAGATTGGTTAACCGTTGTTGTCGACCTTCTCCATCCACAGTCAAAGGGCGGCTATGTCAGACTCACTTCGATAGATCCACGTGAACAACCCGATATCAATCTCAATTACTTTACTGACGAACTCGATATCCTTGCTTTGAGAGAGGGTGTTCGATTCATTGATGATATCCTTATGAACAGTGCCGGAATGAAAGAGATCATTGCCGAGGATTTCCCGTGGCCCATGCCCCGTGAGTCGGATGAAGAGATGGATCGCCTTATTCTAGATCGGGCGCAGACTGGATATCGTAAGTTCGGTGCGTTATAGTGTGGAGTTTAAAGACTGATTTTTATAGATCCGTGCGGCACTGCCAGATTGTCTCAGGACATTGACCAAGGCGTGGTAGACTCTAATCTGAGGGTTCATGGGGCCAAGAAGCTTCGCGTTGTTGATGCGTCTATCATTCCGGTTATTCCGGACTGTCGGATTCAGAATTCAGTGTACATGATTGGGGAGAAGGTACGTTAAGGAACTGAGCTTGTAAAACTTGATTCTAATTGTGTTAGGGTGCCGACATAATCAAAGAGGCGTATCCGGAGCTCTACAAATGAGCATAAGTTGATGGAAGACACTGGTTTTGTTTTTCTTTTCTTTCTCTCGCCGTCTTCCACATCCTCAAACATGGAGCGTAGTTGTGCCAATCTATTTTGCCATGTTTAGTTGAAGGCTCATGTCGATTTGGCGGATCAGACAATGTCCTATTACAATGAACAAATTATGGCAGCCTAAACTGCCTCTGTTTGCCATCCTTTTGACATTTCCTTTTTGGTGTATTGTTAAAATGTTACTTAAAATACAACGTTTAATTTCTTTTCATAGTGTTATGATAAGCGACAATAAGCTTTGGAAGTAAACCTTTGGTTTCCACATACAGCAACGTGTATGTACTCCATAAAATCAAATAATTACAACAAATCAAACAAGGTGAGTTCTCCTCACCATTTCTAAACTCTCTCCACTGTCATACTGAACACAAAGCTTGCCAGGCCTTTAAGAAAATGTATTCTTTTCCTCGGTCAATTGTGTCCACATCTATGCAAGCATGTTGCCTTCGTACCCCTGAAATCAGGTCCACATGTTTTGGATTTTTCATCTAAGCCTCGCATGTTAATCATCAACTGGTGTTTAAAATAAGTAACTGTAAAGTTAGGACTGTAGGGCAGGAGTACGGAGTACTAGCGTTGTGGATGGTGATGACCCATTGTGGAGCCAGATGTCAGACCCTTAACGTTGGATCTGCACGGTAAGGCAATATCCGGCCATCCAAGAACATACAAGGACACGAATTGAAGAAAATATTGGCGCTATGGACGAGGTAGTTTCCTGCGTATGTTTCTGGGGCGGGTATAGTGAGGTCCTTAGGTTATACCTTTTATTAAAGTCCCCTGGCCACAACCATGTCGTTTCGCTCCTTTAGTGCCTCTTTCGGGGATGTTGCCTACGACCTTCTCATGGAATGTGGTCATGGAGTGGAGCCGAGCAAGAACATGGGACAATCCAGGGCTGCTCAGCCCTGGAGATCAAACAAATGCCAAACTTGGATACGCGTATAGGTTGGATCCACTTGACTACCCACTAGTGCTTCTAATTTGGGTGATCGTCGGAATGGTATTTCCTCAATACATTGGTCTGACCGCACAATTACGCGTAATATACACCACTGACACTCATCGGTTTCCGTTCAGAACATTTGAATCAAGGAAAATAAATGTATTGAAAGCTTTCACTTCCCATTATCTACGTAGAACATTGAACCTTTATGGGGCCCATGGATTGTCTAAGTGATTGGTAAGTATTACCCCGACGTACATCAATGATACATACCAGGGTAACCTGTAGCACTCTCATACATGTACTTTACATCCACCCGTACTCGTATTCCAAATTTAACCTCGAGGGCCTGGTAGGGGCATAGCAGCTCGATTCGGCGGATCTTGATATAAGGTTTTTCCGAGGCTACAGAGGTGATGGGAAGTTTTCGCTTGTTTAAAGATCCTAGCTCGTCTGGTCCTTTCCAACAGCATTCGGTTACCTATAACCTGTACTATCGTCTCACTTTTCATTTCTTTTTTTTTCCTTGACATATTCATAACCTCTTTTTGAACCATGGAACATTCCAAAATGTATTCCAAAGATGCCGAAATGGCGCCTCACGACCAGCGGGATGACCAGCCCGATGAGCAGCCCCCACCCCCATACGAGGCAATCCCGCAAAATTTGAGTGAAGCTCAAGGTATCTCCGTCAACGGTACGTTGCCCCAACTTATCAAGCCGTTCGGCCTCGGTAAAGTAAATCTGACTTGTTATAGATGATGGCCGTGTTGTCGTGGATGCTAGTTCTCGTCTCTGCAGATCTCTTTCTAAGTTATTGCCTAATGCTGTCCGTCAGAGCGTATCTCCACCGGAATATTCCGAGGGGGTACCAACATTCAAGTTCCCTCTAAATATTGTGATTCAAATCGTGGGCAGCAGAGGTGACGTCCAACCATTTGTCGCACTTGGCGCAGAGCTACAAAATATGGGCCACCGTGTGCGCATTGCAACACATAATGTCTTTGAGCAGTTCATTCTCGAAGCAGGCTTGGAATTCTACCCTATCGGCGGTGACCCGGCCGATCTGATGTCATATATGGTCAAGAATCCCGGGTTGATTCCCAGCTTAGATAGTGTTCGCGAGGGAGATATTCAAAAGAAGCAACTAATGATGGCGGAAATTCTTCATGGTTGCTGGCAATCATGTCTCATGCCCGACCCTATCACAAATGCCCCCTTCGTGGCCAATGCCATTATCGCCAATCCTCCGAGTTTCGCCCACGTTCACTGCGCCCAAGCCCTAGGAATTCCACTTCATTTGATGTTTACAATGCCATGGAGTCCAACAACGGCATTCCCGCACCCGTTGGCCAATTTGAAAAACATTCCGGCTGATCAAGCGTGGCTCAATCGCGTTTCATATGGTGTTGTGGACTGGCTATCATGGCAGGGGTAAGTAACGACCATTCCTTTAAGATATATGCTGAGCCGGTAGCTTACCTATTTTCCATTCGAAACAGTCTCGGCGGCGTGATCAACGATTGGCGGAAACATGAGCTCGAGCTCGAACCTATCTCTCTTTCAGATGGCCCTTTCATTTTAACCAAACTGAATGTTCCCTATACATATTGCTGGTCCCCTGGCCTAGTTCCTAAACCTAATGACTGGCCTCATAATTTTGGTGAGAAATGATCACTTTTGCTGAAGTCATTGAAGTCGTGAACTAACTCCCATGGATAGACGTGTGCGGGTTCTTCTTCCGCGATCCACCTAATTATCAACCTCCTGCCGAGATTGCGGAATTTCTCAACGCCGGGCCCCCTCCGGTCTATTTCGGATTCGGTAGCATTGTCCTTGAAGACCCCGCTGAGATAACGAAAACGATTCTCCAGACGGTTCAAGAAACCGGGGTTCGGGCAATCATCTCACGCGGCTGGAGTAAGCTAGGAGGGGATTCGGGGGAACTAAACAGGAGTGATGTTCTCTTCATAGGCGATTGCCCACACGAATGGCTATTTGAACGTGTCAGTGCAGTCGTTCACCACGGAGGTGCTGGTACAACGGCATGCGGACTACGCAATGGCAAGCCTACTATCATTGTGCCATTTTTTGGAGAGTAAGTGACAACCTGATCGTTCATTTTCACCTGAATTCCTCTATAGATCTTTTGGAATCTTTTCTGACCTATCTATAGTCAACCATTTTGGGGAGAGATGGTTTGCGCGGCTGGAGCAGGACCAAACCCTATTCCATACAAAAAGCTGAATGTCAACGCATTAGCTCACGCAGTACGGTTTTGTTTGACACCAGAGGCAGTGCGCTCCGCGCAGGGTATTGCGGCCAAAATGGAGAAGGAACAAGGAGTGAAAACAGCCGTCGAATCGTTTCATCGGAATTTGCCCAAAGATCTAGTCGAATGTGATCTCCTACCAGAATTCCCAGCCGTTTGGAGATATCGTCTCGGCAAGAAAAGATTTCGTTTTTCCAAAATTGCTGCGGAGATCTTGGTAGAAAAGAATTTGGTAGACGTCAAAAAGCTGAAACCGTGAGTTTGAATCTTTCCACTTTAAACCCAGTCACCATGCGTTCCAAGACCAACGTTAGGCGAACCTTTGACTAACTTCTTTTGAATTGAAGGTACCAACCAAACCCCATTATCATCGAGAACACACGATGGGACCCTGTGACTGGTATCTCCTCTGCTGGCATGGGAGTCACATTTGATGTGCTCAAAGCAGGAGGGGATATATTTTATAAGCCATACAGGGTATACCAAGATGGTCGCACCGTGCATCTTCCATCACCAACCGGTTCAGAAAACACTCCTGCCCAGCTACTGTCACCAAGAAACAGTGGATCATCAATTCGCAAAGCCCAATCGATGGATGATTTGACGGCAAGCAATGAAGTTGAACCTAAGAAAAAAGGAAGGGGTGTCGCGATGGCTTCAGCATCGACTCATGCTTCCGGGAAGTTCCTAGGAAAGATCGCGTCTGGATTTATGGTCGATATTCCTTTGGCCGCGGCTGAAGGCTTTCGCGTGCTCCCTGGTCTGTACGGAGACAAAGTTCCCGAATATGGAAAAGTGAAGGATTGGAAGTCTGGCGCAGTTGCAGGTGCAAAGAGCTTTGCCAAGGGCATGGGAGGAGCTATGACTGATATGATATATCAGCCATATAAAGGTGCTAGAGATGGAGGCGTCGCAGGCTTTGCTGGTGGCATATTCAAAGGCACTTTCGGGTCGTTGAGCAAGATGGCACATGGTAAGAATGATGCTTTCCGTTTCAATCCTCTGGTGCATTCTTTTGTTAGTTCATCTTCGCTAACTTCTTACAAAACACAGGCGGCATTGGCCTTGTTGCCTATCCCAGCCAGGGTATTAAACAATCCATTTATTCCGCGTTTCACAAGAGCACACGCAACCTCATTTTGGCGGCTCTTCACCTAGAGGGAGAATATGCGGTTCGGCAAGAGAGAGTGAGAGGGTTTGAAGATCAGAAGGTCACCGAAAAATTCATGGCTATGACTAAAAGTGAGGCCGATGACGACAGTGATTACATATAGTACAATAGATGTGATGGGAAATGCATACATAACACTTGGTCCTGGTGTCGCTCCCTTAAAGTAAGAAGTACATATGTATCTACGCAAATACACCCAATGACTAATGTCAGCCTCGATTGATGGAATACTGAGTAACACTTTTGTTGTAAACTTGTACAATCTTCTGCTTAAACGCTATCGTAACTGTTACTGATAGTACATCACTTTCGTATAGATCTATGCCGAGACCTTTCGGCTACTCCGATACTATGCATTAGGCTATTATCTCTATGGGTTCCTGCTTCTCATTCTGTGGTATCGTTTCAAAGAAAGCACCCTCGATCCGTTTGACCTTTCGGCCCTCCCACCATGACGTTAGTCCTGCCAGAAGCGAACTCAAACAGCCTAGACCAATGAAAAGACCAACTCCGAAGGCCGGACGAGTATGGCGGTTGTACTCCCACATGAATGTCGCCATCCCAACTTGGAACAAACTATTTAACAACATGTTTATCACGACAAAGTCCATCTTCCATGTTTTGGTAGGTGGAGCAATCTTGCCGGTCAGGGTCTCCGGGGCCACCATTTCGTCGCAACTTGACTCTTCAGAATCTCGCATTCTAAACCAGCTCGAGTTTCGCTTTGCCAGATGCATTATCGATTTCTTGGATGTGCTGGCCGAGCCAAAGTGCCACATCAGCAGCCAATATGTGTCGCGAATGCGCCAGGGGGCCAGCCCCCAAGAAGTTAGACAGAATAACCCATTGAGAATTTGGGAATCAATCTCAATCCAGATTTCTTTGCGCTCTTTGCTCATCGAGCCGACGCCCAGCAAAAGGAAAAATAACATGGCACCCCAGGCGATAACGTTGAGACCATAAATCAGGATGAAAAAGCCTGTGGGTGTAAGAATAAATCTCCATGCTGCAAGAGCAGCTTTCTTGGAGGCGGTACCCCAGGACACCTTAGGAGCAATAGTGTCTTGGTTGCTTTTGTTGTTATCAAGTTGAGATTCAGGTAGGCTTTCGACCGGTCCAGCTATGTTCTTCTCTTCCTGGAAGGTTCCAAGCTCTATCGTGGGCGCCGTCGCTCTCCGAATTACCGCTCCGCCGACTGAATCTTGCGTGCTGACTCGTCTTACACCTCGACCGTGAACATCGAAGAAAACATCGTCGGGTGATCTGAGGTCTGTCACATTTGGGGCGTGCGCGATAGCTGTCCCGGTCGCCTGCCACATCCCACCGGAGGGATTGTAGTCAAGCAGCCTTGAGACAGTGCTGACGGAGGCTGAGCGTAGTATCCGTCCTGTTTCCCGGAAGGATGGCATTGTAGTATTCGAGGCGAGGAGATGTTCGGTTTCTGGCTGGGCTGATTGCCCTTCGGCTATGGTTTGGTCCATAGCCATATCAACGCTCGAATGTTTCGAAGGGTCGTCTGATATGTGGAGAATAGGTTTGAAAGTGATGATGTTTCGTTGAAATCCGATAGTAAAACTTATAGAGAAACCGTAATAATTTAGATGTTGAAATATTTTGGAGACATGTGGGAAAAGGGCCTTATGTGGCTCAGAAATGGACCAGGTACTCTAAGGTTATTCTAAGTAACGCTGCAATCCTTGGATCATTAAAGTGGATACGGTGGAGCTAAGGGTTTTTAGATTTTTCGGTAATTTTCAAGGTTCCAGCGTTACCCAAACATCCTGTTACGCGCAATTTCTGCCTTGGGACCCTCGGCAGAACATCGGGAAAAGGACGGCGTAAACTAACTACATGGATAGCTCTACTATTATTTTGTAGCTATTCTAGGCACCCTTTATTTGTGAATTTGCCACTCAATAAGATTTGTTGCTAGCTTGATACTTCCAACTCACGTTACTGTCCCTTAATACAATTCAAGCATATCTTGTTGAGCGAGTTATGTATGGGTATACTCCTTGAATGCTATAGCACAGACTAGACTAATATGTTACAATACTATACATAGCGCAAAACTTAACCTCACATCATCGTGCATCGACTCTTGTGAAGTTTTTCTAGAGCGACAAATTCCTGTGATGTGCGCCTATGTTTCTTTTGCTGGATCTTGATCTCCACTGCCCCTTCGCTATGCCACCATCGTAGATATTGAAGCTTGACCCTGTGAAGTTCCTGATGGCAGATTTCCCATTTCCCCCCACTCACCTCAACCGACGTATCTCCCATTGGGAAATGAAGATCAGGGAGGTATATTTCAGTCGGGGTATGAGGTGTTGCCTGATTTGCAATAAATCTCATGGTGAACGTACACTTCTTCAAATCAAATGTGTGACTTTCTAATCGCCCATTCGTGTAGATGGGAGTGGGGCGGAGACATGCTTCCACTGCCCTATGGCTCCGTTGCGGTTGCACGGTAGCCTGAGAGACGCTTTTCGGGGTGCACGGGAGTGCCAAAGTCTTGAGCGAGCTAGGTTTCTCACCTTCAACTTCGATAAGATGGTCGTTAGAGCATGCTGTGGAGTCAGACCTCGTTGAATGGGATGAGGCTGGGATAGTAGATTCCAAGTCACTCCGTGAGTATATGGAAAGGTCCTCCCCATTCCACTGATCGCCCCATTTATGGTCGTTCTGGCGAAAGTTAGTCAAGGCTGTGTCTGTGAAAATCCGAACCATACACATACCTCTGCCACATAAACCCACAAAGCAAAGCCGTTGGCATTGCTCCCTTCCAGCGCAAAATGATTTGCATCCATTGCTTTGATCTGGCTGCGGTAGTCTCCAGTCTTATATGCGTGCTTATCATCCATATCATACGGAATGCCAATCTCACTGAAGAGTAGGGGATGATCACCCATATGTTGTAGACTTTCGTCGCGCAGAAACTTGAGTTGACGTCGTAGGCTCTTTCGAATTGATTTCTCCCCGATTTTGATTGCAAATGCTGGTGCAAGATACTTGCCACGAAGCAACCCGATAATATCCAAGTTGTAGAGCCGATTCCTATTAGGGTCAGTATCGTGAATGACAGGTGAGACTTTTGTACTAACCAATGCTTCGTTAAAAGAGTAAGACCGTCATAAAAGTGAGCCGCGTGAACCATGTTCGGATCATCATCCGCTGTACCCTTGAGGGTCGGTGGTAACTCCATGACTGGTGGCTGGCAAAACATAATAGTAGTTCCACACACGTTGCGTATGGCGTCCTTGTATGCTCGGTAATGATCTAGAAAGTAGGTGTTTGTAAAGCGCTCATAGTCAAGAATCTCGCCAGTCTGCGGATTTCTTGAAAAGTAGTCCTTCTGTAACAGCGTGGGTCTGCTTTTGGATGAATCCCAGACTCCATGTTGCGCCCAGAGGCATTCACCGAGCTTCCAGCCCGGATCGCGGTGCCAGCCATATCGATAGTCGTCGTATTCTGCAGACAGCCATGCCTGTTCACCCTTTGGATCTATCACCTCTGTGCCTGATTGGTAGGGGCCAAATTTCCCGAAAGACCAGGTTTTTAACTCGCATGGCCTTCCGGAGCCAATGAGCATAGCCTGAAATGCCGTTGGAGATGTCCCGAGCTGGAGATGCTGCTCCGATGGAATTGAGGAAATATCTTGAGTTCCGATCAGGCCTTTATGTGGTTCGTTTATGCTTTCCCATCCGATAACCACGTCTCCTTCGAGATCACCGGCGTTATGGATTCTCTGTGCAAGGTATTCGCATGCGGCAATAAAGTGGCTCTGTAAATAATCTTGAATATTCATACCATCAATGATCGCCTTCGGTGCAAAATCTCGACCTGCCCAAAACAGCGTAAACATCGTCTGACAGGCTAACCTAGTGTAGTTCGTACACCAAAGCATCTTGGGGAACTGTGCGGGATTGTCCCATGTGTTGTGAACGAGGGCTGCCTGTGTATTTTTGAAACTCTTCGGATTTAGTCCTGCAGCAAAGAGCGTCCATGTAGGTGCTCCCGATCCCCCTGATAATCGAGACCACTTCGAATAGTAAGTAAGCTTAGACCTCATAGATGATAAAAGTCACTCAAGACCACACTTACGACATCTTGGTGCGGATCCATGAAAATGTAGAAATTGTATTGCTTGGCGATACGAAGAATTCCGATGGTGAAATCGATCCAATGCTCATCGTAGATTTTAGGACCAGCGTGTTCAAGTGCTTCCCAAGTGAAGATATATCGAATGGTGTTGTATCCCCAGTTTCGGAGACGTTGGAAATGTATGTCGGCATCTTCCAGGGAGAACGGCCTTCCCACGAACGATACGTCTTCCTCGAAGAACTCTTGGAGATTGTGTGATCTGAGATCCGGGGTTTTCGGATATTTAGCATCACCTGCCACATTTATTCCCCGCAAGATGATTTCTCGATTCAGGGGATCTCGAAATGTTTGTCCATCGACGCGCAGACGGAGTTGACTCATATCGTTGGCCGCGCCTCATGAACCGATGCACCACTTATTTAGTGAATGGGCTAGAGATAAGCACAAATCGCAGGGAGAAAGCAAATTGCAATGCCGCAAATCACACTGGTTCATCCGAGGAATGAGACTAGATGTCTGTAAAGAGAAACGAGAGGTTAATAAGAGTCAGTTTAGAAAGTCGTACTCTAACGTCCAAGTTAAGGTTCTTTGAAAGAAGATCCATGTCGGCCTTACTCACCTCATTCAGTTCGAAGTATGTGCAGTGGACGAAGGTGTACAAGAGAAAGGTAGTTAACTAGTGGTAAAGTTTGGATAGCAGTGAGCTACATGTACCTCTAACCCCAATTGAAAGTGGGCTGATAAAGCGCAAGCTTGTTCTAGGCTAGCCGATATAGTAAAAACACTTCTGCCTCTATCATTGCCACTGATATACGAGGTTATACGATCTCTCAATAGTATTATTATACACAGCTAGCAGGGGTTGTATTTTAAAGAACTGCGTATCTGTAAAAGTGCTGTAATTCTTGTAACAAATCGAGAATACCGTACTTATTCGAGTACTGTTTGCTGCATGGAACGCGAGGAATCCCTGGGTCGAGTGGATCCCTATCCCTGGGAATGTAAATTTGGGTTACCGTACCTAAGCAAAGAGCCAATCAGCGCGGTGCAACTTCATACGCACTGACAGTGGGGCTACCACTATAGGATCTCTATACGAGTACGCGTATAGCTCGCCGGTGCCTAGGTGGGTTTATCTCTTTTTTTGAGAGTTGAAATTTATCCTATTTCTTTAGTACCAAAAGTAGGGGAGTGGCTTTCCACAATCACGAAATGTTTCATACTAGATACATATGTACATCCGGGTCGGATCTAGGTTTAATGAACCCATTGTCTAAATATTGTAGAGCTATGGGGAAATTCGTATCAGAGGCAAGACGGGAAATAAATTGTGGGTTGTATTGAGCTGTTGACTAGGAGAAAGAGAACGGATCTAGGAGAGTATGTAGTGAAGGTCCTTTCTGCCGAAGGCAGAAAGGCTGCCTGAATAAACATCCATCAGGGAACGTTTGAATCCGACACATTTCCAGTACAAAGAAATATAAGAACACAGTGGATAAGAATGAAAGAAGCTAAATATTAGAGAAAACGGGAAAGAAGGTGATAATGGCTAGAGGCTCCTATGAATAGGTCCACACTTGAATAAAGTCGAAAGTAGCACAGCGATCTATGCGTCATACGACAGGCGTATTTGTCAATTGTGGAAATCTTCCCATGAGATTTTCTGGGAAGCACGTTTGAGTCCGCGACAGTGATACGACAATCTATTTAGCGCAGGTGAAAGATGTGGCATTCCTGAAATCACCGCCAATGTACTTCTGGCGGAGGGGATACGGGCACAAGTCTCGAGCGGTGCTGTTGCTCCCTTTGGTAGCGTGGAGAGTGACAGGAGCATGGTCATTTTCGACCCATTCCATCAACTGCGACATAGCTCCATTCGGAATTGGGCCGAGTCCACCATAGCAGTGGCCAACACCAGGCGCTTCGAAGAAGCGGAAGAAGTCGTGAGCTTTGGGATCGTGCTTAAGCACGTCCTCGTAGTAGCTGATTGTTCCATTGGGTGGGATTGCTTCGTCGGCAAGTCCGTGCCACGTAATCATCTTTCCACCATGTGCCTTAAACTTGGACAGATCAGGATTATTGTTTCCGACCATTGATTCAAACTGGCGGGTTGAGGCATGTAACATATCGAAGAACATAGAATCGGTCATGTTCTTAAGTGAGAAGTTAGCATCTTTGGCAACGGCGTATTTGAACCAGTTACCGAACAAGGAACTATCGCCGGTGGTGCATGTGCCATTTCCGGTGCAGGTGGTTGGGATATAGTAGCTGTCGATTGCTGCGTCTTTGTTGACACCGGCCCAACCGGCCTTTCCAGACCCAGACCAGGCAGCTTGAACAACCTTCGCACCTGATGTGCTCAGAGTATGCTGTACTCCATCGCATGTGTAGTTCTGTCCAACAAAGTCGTGGGCCTTGACATTGCAACGGTTTGGCAAGCTAATGATGCCATCTTCCACTCCATCTAACCGATCACAGGCTTCGACCGCTGCTTTGGTGAAAGCCTGAACCTCACAAGGGGATGGGTAGGCGTGGTGCTTGTTCATAACATGCGCGGCCCAGTAGCCTGCAGGAATAAAGGCTTGCAGGTTGATGGCGGGAGCAACAGCCAGAATGCCGTCGAAGACATCCGGATAGTCTTGCGCCATCATTACGCCTTGTCTTCCACCACCAGAGCATCCAGCGAAATAGGAATATTTGGGAGCTTTCTTGTAGTATGACTTGGTGATCTGTTTTCCAATAATTCCCATGTCATTTGTGGCTTTAGATGCATAGTCTTCAAAGAGGTACCAGTCGAGATTATTTCTGCTCTTCAGAGACCATGTCAAATCGGTTGGAACAGCTTCAGCTCCCACGTCATGACCTCCATCGGTGGAGGTAGATGCGAAACCTTGGGCGACGGCATATGTGAGATAGATAGAGCCAAAGCCAGTGCTGTAACCTCCACCACCCAAAGCTTGGAACTTGCCATTCCAACCCTCGAGTGGTAGCCAGACCTGAGTGTTGATTGTGTCGTTCCAGCCAGGATGAGTGTATGTAACTGTGACGTTGCAAAAGCTGATAGTGTACTTTTGTCCCTCATTAGAACCTGGGCCAAGACTGACAGCTGAATAGTTGTGGACTTCGTCGGCTTGGACACCAAGGATAGAAGCTCCAAGTAGGTCGGGTTTGGGGAGGTGGGACGGCGAGCATCTGGAGACTGTTGCGGCTTGGGTAGCTACCGCGCCCAGAGCAGCCAATGTAGCTGAAAGTTGAACCATCTTGATCGTGTTTAATGAAAGCTCTCTCGGGCAGGCGAAGAGGTTTATATATCAACAAGTGTAGTAATCAGGCCCCCTTGCCCAGGTGGGACCTTGAAAATTGACTTTGCAAGACTCTATTGGGTACTCGCGGAAAATAGGTTTCCAATAATTGAACTGAACAGGTTCATCAATACGTAAGTTGTAGTATTTGCCCCCAGACAAAAGATGTTTCATGCTCCACACTAGAGATCGGCACCTGCGTATCCGTATCTAATTACGTTTTCCGCGTATCTATCTGATTTCCCATGCCAACTTTAATTTATCTACCGTTTTTACCCTTGGGTGCTCATTTGATAACTAACCCAATATTCTCCTGAGTTGCACCTGATAATTTGATGTCGTGACTTTTGATGGGGGCGCCACTGCCGCTAAGCATTGTCGGGATCTATGAATAGAAAGAATGGCCAGGGACACCCGACCCAGAGGGCAGCCTAGGGGCGAGAGGTTCTTTCGTACAGCGTTGCCAATACCAAATCACCTTGCTTCTTCATATAGGTCCTGTGTGTAAAAGGTTTGCACATAATTAAGTAGACATACGTGCTAAGGTACATAGGTCACTTGCGCTGCTGTTTTAAGGAGCGCGTGGGCTTGTTCATAAGCTTGCGGTGTCTACCACGAAGTATGTTGTATATAGCCGGGTAAATATCTGTAATATCACCATGGAGTAATACTACTACCACACCGTACGTAGTAGTATGTACATAGTATTATTCAGAATAGAGTATTATGCGGCCGCTATTGGTGTGTTAGGAGCGAAGTGGAGACAAGCTATACGCGTATTCGGGTTTTATCTCTCCATGGCATCACCTCAAGTTTCTCTCACAAGCCAATTTTTTGTCGAATTGCCCGTAGAGTTAGAGTTACCCTTGCCATCTTTAACGTTTCTTCAGTCAAAATAAGCCGGAGGGCCGAGGTTGAGAAACGTTGCAATTAGAAGATCACTGTGTCAAGGAGTCCAGGCAACATGGGTTGTGTTATACCCACGGCACATCGAGCTTTCTCGACACTGAATGTGTTGAGAGTCTGGCGTAATTGATATTGAAGTCAGTTGCACTTTTCGTTGTAGTGAACAACAAGAATACTTAGCTGTACTTATGGTTTTATCACATCTTTTTAGTAGTGTTCTTTTTTAGCAGACTTTAGCTCGGATATCCCCCATTATTGGCGTTGTACATATGGAGTAAAGTGTAAGCGGTTTAAACACCTTAAAATATGCATAACGATTATTCCGTGTATAACCCTTATATTGATCCGATGACACGCCTGCGTGGTAAGGAATCCCCACATGGACTCGACCGTGGGCAACTAGTTTCAAAAGTGTCTCACGATTGATTAATGGGCCAACGTTTAATTAGACAATCCCCAGGCTAAGTTCACTCTGGTATAGTGCCGGTCCTAGGTCGCCTTTCCGCTCCTTTTCAATTCGGAGCTTGGAACTAGGCGGATTGCGTCCTCGAACTGAATCACTGCTAACTATATTTTAACAACCAAGCAGCACCTACATATTTATTCCAATGGAGTTTAAGGAAGGTACCAAGTACCAGGTTGTATCATGAGAGAGATAAACCTCGACTAAGCCAATGCCCGTTCATAAATTGTCCAAATTTGGAGCAGTGGCCACCGTTCCATGCTATCACGGACAATAACCCACCAAACATATGAAATAACTATCATCAACTCCGCTCTCCCTCAAAGTGCTAGAATTATCGGTCATTTCTCCAACTATGTACATCCGTCAGCACTCCAGAACCCTTGAAATACTTAAACACATCTCAAGGAAGGCGTGCGAAAGAAGTCGGGACTTCCTACGATTAGGCACCAGTAAGTGAGCCATCCCATGCCAGCTAATGCAGGATTTCATATGGAGTATGAAGCATTCTCGTTAGATCTCCATAAGTCACTCGAAAGCCACCGAATACCTGTCCCCTCCCGGACAACAGCATAGGTATGTCCCACGTCTGAAATATGAAAGAAAAAGGATGACTTTTTTCTATATGGGATTTTATCCAACTTGAAGCTTCGTACTCCGTAGATAAACTTCGAAACACATGTCATTCCTGAGCGGAATTTTTTCGGCCATTTAACAGCTGCGATGAGGCGCAGCACCCACCAAAATTTGGCGACCTGAATCCCGGGATGTACAAAAAGTGCCAAGACTCCCAATGGACTAATCGGGAATAAGAGTAAGACCAGCGCACACAGCGAGACTAGTATACTAACACCCGATCAAGCTTCCTAGTGTCTTCTAGCTCTCGCATTCGCATTCGCACTAGCATTCGCACTCGCAATCGTTGTTCGCAGCATACATAGCCTCATTGAAGATATAGACACCACGGAATCCGGGGCGGATAGGGTAAGATCCGAGCCTTGGGAACTTCTACCACATGGATTAAGGGTCCAGAGATGCTAAAACGTCGTCGCTGATTGGAAGCCCCCTTTGAAGTATGAGCCTAATTAGGAAGGCGCTACCTTTCTGTCTCCCGCGTTCTGCTACCTCTATCACAATGGCCCTGGCTATCGGAAAATTGAACGAGGGCAGGATGAGAGATAAATACCTTATAAGATCAGGGCCCATCCCTTCTTATTCTTTTTGACACTGAAATTTCAATTGCAAAATTGGTCTTACAACATATTCTTCATTTTGAAAGATGGGGCTACAAGTTTCATCCGTCTTCCTATTAGGGCTTGGTGAGTGCCATTTCAATCCTCAATCCTCAATACCTTATCTGCAACACAAATCCACCTACAAAATACGCCTCAAACACAAGAGTACTAACCTGTATTAGTGGCCAAATCAGCTTTGAGTCAACCGTTCACCTTCGTTGTCCCTGGACATGATGATATTGCCTACCACGTCTTGGAAATCGACGCAACATATATCATGATCACTGCACCGAAAGATGTTGGATGGGTTTCACTTGCTCGGGAGCAAGGCGGCTTGAATTCCAGCAACTTGTCGACCTCAAACACAATCTCAGTGTCGTTGAAAGAGCAATATTCTATCAAGGCTGAATCCACTCTCTCCAATTGCCAAATAATCCAGGGGCCACCTTCTGTGCATGATCAAACGGTGGAGGCGACAATCCGCTGTCATGACTACCCTATCCTGGATAGACTGGATGCTTTCACCTGGGCCTACGAACAGGAAGGGAGCATTCATTCTGGCCCAATGAGAGTACTTGAAACCCACAATTCGGACAGTATTGCCATGAGTGGACGTGACGGTCTGCGGCGAGTAGTGCGGTCAGCGAGCTCTCAATCGGCAGAAACATCCACTGTGCCATCCCAGTCACCATCCCCGGCCGAAATTGCTGCTTTGATGGCAAAGTACGACAGATTGACGAAAATCAGAACTATCCACGGTTCGATTCTTGCAGTTACGTTTGTTGTACTCTTTCCGACCTTTGCCAGTCTGATTCATTTGCTCCCATCATCCAAGCCAGTTGTGAAAATCCATGCATCCTTGCAAGCCATGTCAGCAATTCTTGCTATAGTTGGTTTTGGTCTTGGTGTATACCTCAACTCGCAAATTACCATAAAGGGAAAGCATCACCAAGCCATCGGTGCCATTGTCATCATCCTCCTTGTGATCGTTCAACCCATCCTCGGGATCCGTCACCACATGTTGTTCCGCCGGACACAGAGGAAGACTTGGTTGGGCTATGTACACCGCTGGCAGGGTCGCATCATGCTTAGTCTAGGAGTTGTCAATGGTGGCATAGGGTACAACCTTAGCCGGACTGGCCCCTCTGGAGGTCCTCGCAGTGCTCTTGTCGGTTACGGTGTGGCGGCTGGCATTGTTTACGTCTGTTACTTTGGCATCTTGGCCTTTAAGGCATTCAAACAGCGACAAGTCTCTCAGGGCGATAAGACCGATGGCACAGAAGCAGCCGGGCGTCCAGATACGGAAGAGCATACACTGACGGAGATGTCTACGCACAATTAATTCCTTGTCAACCTGACGGAACCTTTGCGCGGGACTTTTGACATTTGGATTCATGCGAAGTCAATACCGCGCCCTTTTTCGTGTACCTACATATTTATACGCAATGGCTACAGAGTGACAAACACCAGGCCTTCTGTTTCCTCTTTTTCTTGTATTCTTTTTCTGCTTTCCTATTGTCAACTGCCAAAATAGCTGTGTATTAGTTCATGTTTTCTTTATTATTTGCAGACCTTAATTAGCCTCCGAGATGAAATGCTTTAGTTCCAATATATCATATTTCATATTCGTTGATGTCCATTTTGACTTCGAGACACCTTGAATCTTGGCATGTCCACACATTGTCTACTGCGTCGATATATATAAACGAAGGACGTAGAGCTAGGGATTGCATCAAGATTTTGTCTACGACATGTTAGAATTCAGTTTTTGGCATATTGTACACACCAGCGGCCCATCGTTGCAGGTTATCTCTCTTGACCAAAAATCGCGCTGAATGTATCTCGCCGATGTTGTCTACTGGATGCAATCTCCTTCCATAGCTGTTCCGCATAAACTTTCATAATTCAATAGGGCCACATTATTGACTTTGTCTTCTCAATATTGGGCATCACAAATCAAGTAATATCTTGTATTTTACTTAAGTTCGTTCTACTCTAACACTAATATGAGCTTACATTTGTATTGAGTGTTACCGACAGCCTGCAAATCTGCTCATCGTTATAAATGGCCTTCCGTGAGCGAGGGCCACAAGCATCAAGGTGACAATGTACCGGGTTAGTTAACATAACAGCTAAAACGAATAATTAAAATTGACATCTAGACCTCTGGAGCGGACAGGGCCAACGAAAAAGAGGAAAACATCGACGACACGTGATATATTAGATGCGGGGAAGATAAGGATAAGGTTGGTGCCTTTTTGGGTTTAGTCGGCCCCGGGGGGCCTGGCTGGTTTCCTGATAACACGTCACTGGCTACATTGAGAAATTGTGTTCGCACATTAGAAGAGGAAGGTTATCGCGAAACTAGCATGGCGAACTTTGTACACTCCGAATGCTGTCCCGCATATAGCGGCTCCACTAGGAGCTGTGCTCCCACTGTCAATCCTATAAAGATCATGGCAAGAGTCGTTTAAGACCCGGTCAAAGAAATATAACATTCAAATTCCCATCGCAGATCTCACTGTTCACAAATTACTATCATGGGATCCATCCAACCCAAAGAACAGCAGTACGATGTCCTTATCATCGGCGCCGGTCTTTCGGGTATCTGCGCACTTCACAACTTCCGCAAGCGCTTTCCTTCGTGGCATGTAGGAGTTCTCGAAGCAGCCGATAATGTTGGAGGAACTTGGTATTGTAACCGCTACCCGGGGGCACGAGTCGATACCGAATCACTCTCCTACGCATACTCGTGGGATAAGGACCTTTTGAACGAATGGACCTGGAAGGAGTCCTTCTCCACCCAGTCAGATGTCCTCCGTTATATTGAACATGTCTGCGACAAGCATGACCTCCACAGGAATATCCAACTCAATACCCGAGTTAAGACGGCCCTTTGGCAGGATAAGAACAATACGTGGCTGTTTCGCGACGAAGTCGGCACCAATCACCGGACCCGTTTCTTCGTCAGCTGCATGGGCTTCCTGTCAACCCCGACGCTCCCTGCTATTCCAGATATTCAACTGTTTCAAGGCAAATCTTTTCATACTTCCCGCTGGCCGAAGGACTTTGACATGAGTCATGATCTGGCCAATAAGCGAGTCGGTGTTATCGGCACCGGAGCAACAGGCATCCAAACAATCACAGCCATATCAAAAGAGCCGAGCATCAAATCATTGAATGTTTTCCAACGAACGGCGAACTGGTCCGCGCCACTACGAAACGAGCCGATTAGCCCTGAGCAGATGGAACAGCATCGGAAGGACTACGATGCCCTTTTCCAGCTTTGCGCTTCAACACCCAGTTGCTTCATGCACCAGGCCGACCCGCGGAAGTCTCTAGAAGTTTCTGCAGACGAGCGGCTAGCGCTTTGGGAAGATATCTATGCGAAGCCCGGTTTTGCCAAATGGCTTGGCACGTTCAGCGATACATACAATAACCGCGAAGCAAACAAACTCTACTCCGACTTTATGGCCAGTAAGATTCGAGCTAGAATAAATGATCCCGAGGTTGCTGATAGCTTGATTCCAAAGAATCACGGCTTCGGCACACGACGGGTCCCCCTTGAAAGTGGCTACTTTGAGGCGTTTAACCAGCCTAATGTCCACCTTGTTGATCTCAAGAGGACTCCAATTGAGCGAGTTACAAGGAATGGCATTATCACGTCTGATGGCAAAGAGCATAAATTGGATATTTTGATTTACGCAACAGGATTTGATGCCATTACCGGTGCGTTCAGCTCCATTGATTGGACAGGAAAAGACGGCCGACCACTCCTTGGCTCCAGCAACACCAAGGAAGGCGAGCAAGCTATTTGGGTTGACCATCGACCGCGTACATACTTGGGTATGACCGCTTGTTCTATGCCCAACATGTTCATGGTTCTAGGCCCCCATCAACCATTTGGTAACGCTCCTCGAACCATCGAGCACGCTGTCCAGGTTATTTCGGATCTCCTGCAACACTGCAAAGACAATAACTACTCCTATGTAGAACCAACGGGAGAAGCCGTGGATGCATGGACTGAACACGTTGTTGAAAGCAGCAAAGGTGCCCTGTCGAACGAAATCGATAGCTGGATGACCGGGGTTAATACGAATGTGAAGGGCAAGACAGTTCGGAGTGTTGCGAGGTATGCTGGGAGCGCGATAGAATATCGTCGGAGATGTGCCGAGTCTAAAGCAGCTGGTTGGAAGGGGTTGGCATTTGCCCAACTCTCGAACTCCAAGCTTTGATGTGGATGAATATTCATCAATTATTACGGTAGATTCAAACGTCGTATCTCCTAGTTGGTACATACACGGTCCGATATACAAACAAGAATCACAAAGTATCAACCTCAGTCAGATCCCAAACTAGCCAATAAACTAGCCGACGGAGCAAAGAATGTCGTCCCAGTAAGCGGCTTTGAGAAATCAAGGATGCGATCATGCAGACCAGGCGGATCCCCAATAAACATACGCTCCAACATTCTTTCAATAACCCAGAGACGACGAGTATAGCCGATAAAGTACGTCCCAAATTCGCCAGCACCAGGAGATCCAAATGGCATATTATCGCGAAGAATATCATGCTCATTCCCATCCTCATCTTCAATGGTGTTGAGTGTCTTGTGAGAGCGCTGTCCAGACTTCGCATCATCCAGCTCAACGTTATCTATCTTGGTGCGACCGATAATCCTCTCCTGCTGTTCCGTGGACAGATCCTTCCACCCGGGTAGATCATGAGTGTACTTCTGTACAACGATATAGCTGCCACCTGAGGCGGAAGCATCTTCCTCTGCAACCAACACGGAGGCCGGAACCGCCAACCCAACGGGATTAGCCGTCCCATCCACAAAGCCAAGTAGATCCCGGACATCGAAGTATCGAAAACCGACCGTCTCATCGACGACAGAGACCGAGTCACCCAGTTGATCCATCAACTGACGCTCAAATTCAAAGCAGATATCTCTGCGCTCGGAGCGAATGTGGAAAAGCAGATCACCGGCAGTCGAGACCGCCGTGTGTTTTTCGCCTTTGACCTCGCGGAAAGGGCGCAGCTCTGAGGGTCGAGGAAGACCCGTGAGGCGATCCCAAATGTCACTTCCAATGCCGACGGTGCACGCAAATTGGGCGCTGAGGTCACGGATGGATACATTTTTGGCTAGGCTGTCTACTCCTGCTAGTGTAGAGCGCACAGTTTCAATGGCGTCGGGATTGTTGGCCACGGAGAGAACAAGAAATGTAGCTGATTGTGTGAGAGGGGCGTCCACACGCTGAGATGCTATTGGGACGCGATGGGTGCTCATATCTGCTTTTTGGTATAACTCGGGAATGCGACGGGTGGATATGCGTTGGTTATGGAATGTATGGCTGGTGAGGGTTGGCTGGTTGGTGTATTTTCGTTCCTTTTTGATAATACTTATTGAAGTAGCTCGAAATGTACTTGGATGGTTAACTGCACACAATGTGAAAGCGGGGTGAGTATTGAGAATATATGAGCTGACCAGTCTCCTAGACCTGGTCATAGTTTAGCTGCTAGGGGCAGTAATCGGAGGGAACTCCAGTCTTATAGAGGATTCGACTGATCTGAGTGCATCATTTGATTATAATAAGGAAGAAATGATTGGTCAAATTAATGTTCTAAGACTGCAAAAGCGAAGGCAGAAAATAGGTCAATGCTACATTGTAGGTGATGATGTCACACCCGCTGAACCGCCCGAGGGAAAAGATTGCCGCATATGTTGATTGGCGCATCATGTTCTGATAATACGAATTAGAAAAGAAGAAGTAAGTTGATGATCGTAGAGCCGAACAATATATATAAATGCGTGCTAATTTATCTCTGGGTGTACCCGCCATCCACAAACAATGCCGTTCCAGTAACAAAAGAGGCCCGCCCACCACTCAAATAAACAACACCATCGGCAATCTCCCCCGGCTGACCCATACGCTCCATTGGAACGGCATTAGCAACCTTCTCCTCCATAGCAGCCAGGATCTGAGGCGACTTGGTTGTCAACGGGGTCTCGGTATACCCAGGACAGATAGCATTGATGCGCAACCCATCCTTAGCATAATCCTCAGAGGCAGTTCTCGTCAACCCAATAACCGCATGCTTTGTGGCAGTGTACGCAGTCGACAACGCAATTCCAGCAACACCCTGGATAGAGGAGAAGTTGACAATTGAGCCACGTTGCAGTGGCCTGCCATCAATCGAGGACTTGATAGGCTCCTGCTTCAACATGATCTTGGCAGCAGCGCGCAGAACAAAGAATGTGCCCGTGAGATTGACATTCAAGATGCGCTCCCAGTCGGATGTTTCGCAGAATGCAGCTCCGCCTGCGTGCTTCATTGCGATTCCGGCTGCGTTAACGACGTAGTCGAGTCGGCCGAATGTCGTCGCGACTTCCTGGACGACTTCATTGACGCGGTTCTCGTCTGTGATATTGGTGGGGTAGGTCAGGACTCGGCATGGTGTTGCTCCTGCTTTGCTTTGTTGTTCTTCGATCTCGGCTTTGACGACCTCTAGGGCTTCGGGGCTGATGTCGAGCAGGGCGATTCCCGAGGCGCCATCTCGGGCGAATGTCTTTGCGCAGGCGCGGCCAATGCCTGAGGCGCCCCCTGTAATAAGGGCAATTCCAGGGACGTCCATGTTAGGTGGTATGTGAGTGTTGGGGGAGTTGGTTGGTCTGTTGATGCGCGCAGCGAGAGTGAGTTTAGCTGAAAAGAACAAAGCGACGAAGGAGTGACGGCTTATATAGACTTCCACGGAACGACCTAAATAATACCAATGACAGCTTGGTATCTCTCCCCAAATAGGACATATACTTTTTCTCCTTGGATGAATGTGGGGTAGTCGCGGAAACTTGCCTAACTCGCATCTGGTGATAGCTGTGCAACCTACCTATGACAACACACCTCGTGCCTGCTTTCCTATCTTTATAGATTATATACTAGATGCACACGTACTACTGATAATCATACTTAGTGCGGGGTTGTTGCAGCTGATTGTCGTCTTGGATTTGAGTCAGCATAACACAGGCAGATTGCGGAAGTGCTAACATTACGTTTGGGACCAGAATGGAAAAAAGAGGTGGGTAGAACACGGAACTATCGTTATCATACTCTATATACAAAATCATAATATCCAGGTTTACAAATCAAGATGGTTCATCAAAAGCAGGGTTATAGGCTCATTTATTGTGCAGACGACCATATCAGAAATTAAAATATCTGCTGTAATGGCACAGTACTCTTCATCAGATCCAACCAAGTTATACTCTTCCCATTAGAACAAGTCTTCTCTTGCCAAATTCGCTGAATATTGGCTAACGTCTCTGTAAAACAAGATAGGCCACTGCGGCGTGCCGAATTCCCAAACCAGTCGGAGAATGATGCCTGAACCAATGGATCCTCGGCTTCGCAAGCCGCAATAAATGCAGGCCAAATGAATCCTGCTGAACCATGTACTACGCTGGAGTCTCTATGCTCGCAGCGTAGTAGACGATCCAAGACTCCCAAGACCTTTTTCTGGAGCAACGAAGCATCCACGTCGTGGATTCGACGGTAGAAGTATATTGCCAGTGCATTTTGCATGGCATTAAGCATATTTTCTATGATTTCATGGTCGAGTTCGGATTGGATGTTCTCCAGGCTGGGTAGTGGTAGGTTGTTGATGTAGTCCTCGAGGGTCTTCGCGCGGCCAATGAACTCTTTCAAGCTAATACAGTTGGACGCATCGTCCGCTTCTGCCGCATCCTTTTCTTTCCCTAATCTAACAACCTGAGATAGAAGAAGAACCCAAGCTTCAGGGATACCAAATATCTCCGGATAGAGAGTGTCAGACCAGAACCCAGGTCTTTCAAGATGCAGATCATTCTCGCCCTCCTCTTGTCCGCGCACTCTCATCATTTCTTGGTCTAAATTCTTCCAACCCGATAGTCGAAATGACAGACTGTCAAGGCTGTAGTTTCCCAGTCCACTCGTTTCAATCGCCGCGTGAACGCGATGACGCTGTCTTGAGTTTGCTCCACAAATGAAGACACTCTCATGTATGATGCGCTCAAAAACATAACAGTGATGTAGCAATCGGACTTTTCGAGATTTTTTGCGTGGGAGTCCTCTTAAGCGAATGAACTTTTCGGCTTCCACAAAATAATATTCCGATTGCCTTCTGTTCCCTGAGAACATTGTCACTTGGACCATGGTGAGCAGTGCCATCAAGATTGATTTGTATTTCGCTACTTTCGGGACATCGTAGGCGGTCGTGAGCATCATTCTTGCATGTTGTTGAGCTTTCTGTTTGTAAATTATGGCCTTTTCGCTCCACGTTTGGGATCGAGAGACTCCTCCAAGGCTGAATGCACTAATGGCCAATGTTCCATAAAATGCACACAAACTGGCATCACTCATATAATCTCCGAGAGCCAAGCCAGCGAGGCAGCTCTTGGTGTGGGGTATAAAAAGGACGTGCCAGGGGGTTTTGGAGTGTCGGAGGGGGGTCATCAGGCTAATTACAGCCGAGACATAGTGCTTGAGAAGGAACACTGCATCTTGTGGCACGGCCTTGGTGGTACCCATAGAGGAGGTGAATGAGGTGGGTGATATGGGCTGGTTGTAAGATTGGTCTGGAAAGCATGATGTGGCTGAATATTCATGTGGTGCTGGATCATCTTCCACGTCACCTTGATCTAGCATAGCGTCTAGATATCCCGGGAAAGGTGAACTTGGAACATTCTCTGCTTGATCAAATGTGAACTGCATCAATGCTTGGGACCAAGGCGACAGATGCAACTCGGATGTAGGCAAGTAAGAATTGTTGAGCGGGATCACATCTTCTGGGGAACTAGAGTGCGTCTCTTGATGGTCGTTCACAGTTGGTTCGCAAGGCAGGGTGTCTTGATCTTGGTTCAATCTAAACACCCCGAATGGACCTTGATGGATCTCGATCTCATCCGAAATTGTTGCCTTTTCGCATTCTTCATCAATGTTGGATATAATTTTGAGGGTCGTCTTTGGAGGAGCACTCGAGACAAGGCATTGACTCATGTGTTCTCTTTCTTTAAGTGAAAACAATGGTCGACGAAACCGGACCCCATGACTGCGGGATGAGTCCTCGAAGTCGAAGAAGATGTCTTTCTTGTATCCGCCACAGGACAACCCAAAATATTGACACATTGAACATTCTGGGCGTCCTTCGTCGCATTTGACATGTCGACTTCGACACTGTACACCAAGTTAGGAATAAATTATTATTACTCAATAAGATGACCAAACATACTGTAGCACACCCTGTAAAGGAACGGGTGTGAGTAATAGCCTCGTGCATACTTTCTTGAATTGAATCTGCCATCTTGTGGTGATTGAACAAGGAAAGTGTTGTACATAGGACCTCGGGAGTCAGTGGGGGAAAAGTGGATCAGTCGATCGCCGATAGCGGAAACCTTCCTATTTCGACGGTGCGCGGTCACTTTCCTATTACATGGGACTATCTAGTTAGTTAGGTATACACGTTCTACATGTGGAATAATATCAATTGATGTATATTCAATCTTGGAAGGTAGACTCTAGGTTTTGTTATAAATATGTATGTGGTAGTGTGCAATTCAACATGTAGCAATTCTCTTTCACGATCGTTGTATTACAACCTCCGTTCTCCTCATCGGTGAAGATCTAACTGGTAGTCTAAAACAATGGCATCTTTCCAAGATAAAGTGGTAAGTATCAATCCGTGATCTATCAAGATATGTTATGCTAACAATATCTCACCCAGATCGCTATCACCGGCGCAGCCTCCGGAATGGGGCTGGCCACGGCAAAACTTCTGGCTAGTCGAGGTGCAATGATCTCTCTCGCCGATATCAACGAGAAGGCCCTGGAACAAGCTATTCAGTCCCTCCCAAATAGCGAAAAGCATATGACCACGGTTATCGATGTGCGCAACAGAAAATCAGTGGATGGATGGATCCAGTCGACTGTTGATAGGTTGGGCAAGTTGGACGGTGCTGTGAATATGGCCGGAATTATCACACCTGCTGCCCCAATCACAGAGGAAACGGATGAGAATTGGGATTTCACTTTCTCTGTGAATACACGCGGAGTGTTCTTCTGCCTGAGGGCTGAGCTGAACGCAATGAAGGCCGGTGGTAGCATCGTAAGTCCCATCCCGGTGTTGGGTTTGCAAGATATAATGCTGAAGCCTTGCCTATGACAGGTCTCTGCTGCAAGTGTGTTTGGTCAAATGGGTGCACCCGGTGTCTCGGCCTACTGCGCTAGCAAAGCTGCTGTTATTGGTCTGTCGCAGACGGCAGCAAAGGAAAATCAACATATTCGAGTCAACTGTGTTTCACCGGGTGAGTATTTCTTCTGTGACATATTTTGAGATCAGTTAACCAACCGTTCAGGTTCTGTCAATACACCCCTTTCCGCTAGTGAAGACCCCGAGGATGTGAAGCGTGGCTTGCAAAAGACAGCACAAAAACGACAGGCAGAGCCTGTGGAAATTGCAACTGTGATCGCATTTCTCCTTAGTGAAGAGGCAAGCTTCGTGACTGGGGCTGTGTACAATGTGGATGGTGGTTGGATGTGCTAAGTGCTGATATGAAGATGAAGATAAAAATAGATAAAAATAGATATGCTGTCCTTCGTTTGTCTGCTAGTTCCTATAGTTTCTACATATTTACATACGCATCGCATGTGACCAACGACTAAAGTTTGTTTTCATATCCAACTCTACATCTTCCTCTCTATCTTCCTCCTCTCAGCTCCATCCTTTCACCTCTCATTTCCTATGGTCAGATTTCAGAATTTTGTACTTGTACCTCTCATCAAATGAATTATGACTACCCCGACATCCTGGTTTTCTAGGGTGCTGCGTGAAGGCAGCAAGATTTCCCTCAACAAACCCACTCCCTCGCAATGGGTGATCGACAAACATGTCAACGAGCATAGCTACAAAACTGATGAGAAGAAAGTTGACTCTTACGCATGTGCTCAGTTCTAATGCCACAATGTTACCGATAGGAAAGAGGGCTTTATGCGCATTTACGTTCAAGTTCCACGTACTGGTTATGACCGCGTGGACAAAGCTACCCTCGCCAAAGAAGCAACTCAATTCACACCCCCGGAGCTAATTACATACCAATTCCTCACCGACAATCGCTCGAGAAATACGCCTCTACTACTGGGATACAAAATGGACACTCAACCTACCGACGGACCAGTTCCTGGTGGACATGTCACATGGATTGTGTGGGAGAAGGTGCCTGGAAAATGCCTAGGAGATTACAAATCGGCATCTGTGTACTGGGATATGACACCCGATCAACGAAAGCGTGTCCGTGAGTCCTTCCTTCGAGAGATTCCGTGAGCAAACAATATCTCAACTACTATCGGGTACCTTCGGAAGGCTAACGACATGATGATCATTAGTAAGATTATGGACATGGGATGTTTCCCCCAGAGGCCTGGTCCTTCTAACTTGATTTAGAACGCGAGCTCCGATGCTCTGTATGCTTCTTCTTCTTCTTCTTCTTCTTCTTCTTCTTCTTATATTCCTAGGTATTCAACTAACATATCGCTACAGGTATTTCGTTGGTTTCCGGGATTCGCTCCCTTTCAAGGCCAAAAGAAACCGGGATGACTCCTACAAATCGTGGTTGCCAGATTTCGATCTTGCTAGGCCTCCCCAGATATATTTTGACTGGAAAATAGATTACAAAGGTAACATGGAGGGCTGGGAGTTTTGATTTGATGATTCCAAGGTTGCTTTGGACAACCGGTCATCATTTCTCTAGATTATCTTATCTTAATACTTTGAACTCTTATCTAGCATTTCCAAATGGTAGGCTTTTAATCGTTAGCATCTCAAAGCTCAAGTTCTCTACGGTGTAGATTTTATCCTTATATTCTTTGTACTTCAAGGTCTAAACCATACACTCAAATCGTATAAGAGAAAAGTCAGTTCACATGTTGTATAGCCTTGCTGTAGCCTACGTTTTACCTTTTACACTACCTATATAATAATGGGGCGAAGATGACAAAAATAGACTTTGAAAATAATACTCAAAAGGGAGTGGAAAACCCTCCAAAAATAACGGAATAAGGTAGCTTACTATTTTCATTCTCTATACTGCAGATTCTAAATACTTGGACCTTCTAATCCATCATCTTTATCTCGAACTTGACAAAATTATGGGTACCTGGGCTTTGTGTGCAAACAGCTAACAGAAATAAGTCACTCCTTGTCACACTTCACTTCCTGTGATAGAACTTGGGCGCTATACCCAGTATCAAACCCAACACAATACCAAGCATTAAGCTAGATAATAGCACGACCAATTTTTAATTTTACACCCTATAAATATAAGCTTATATTTCCCTTTTAAATAGGCGTACCTTCCAAGTTGACCTTTACGACAAGTGAATCATATTAAGTAACTCCTAGAACAGATCTTGGGGAAGCATTCAATACTACTAATAACTAGGTAATTATGTAGTTTCCTACTCTTAGCCAGGATATACCTTCGCATACTTGCAAAGTGAGAGTAGATCTAAAGTAATGCCTGGAAATATGAATCAATGAGAGAGTTATGAACCAGTGGCATACTTAGTCGCATAAAAAATAAGAGCAAAGTGAGATTTGATGAATCTTACCTAGTATGTAGGTAGCTTATCCTATCTAGATGTATCATTCGCAGTTAAGTCGCATTGTTGGTACTTTTCGTCAGGTTGACTTCTTGATGTATGGAAACTACTTCGAAGGGTCTTCCCCATCTTGCCTTTCCCTGCACGTGTCCTCCAGTTTACTCGGTCAGCCTTCTCTCAGCCAGTTTGAGATATTGCTTCATCAATATCCATCTCTCATTACTCTACTCATCAATGTTTTCACCTTTACTATGACCTCATACACTCTTATCACTCCACAAATCTGGTGAGATCCATGATCCGAAAACGATCCAACGTGAGACTGACCTCTTAATCTCATTGGAGGATTACCTGCATTGACCAACATACCAAAGAAATCAAAGCCAACTTGTCCCCATATCAGTCTGCCAGCCAATCACATGAAATGTGCGACCCCGACTGCTAAGGCACACCTCAAATTGCATATCATGCAGGCGAGCGTTTTTCACGAGTACGAATTGAGCCACGGTTACGACTAAGCAAAGGCTAGGCCATACGAAAACACGAAGCCACAAAGCTACCGTGGCCACCATTATTGACAGACTCCGAGTCAGGATTCAGACTTGCCAAATGCCATTCACGAGAAACGTCTTCAATAACCCTCGGGGATGCTACACGTCCCACTTTACTCCAAGTCAGGTAATCAGGCGCGATGAGTCCAACAAAGAGCCGCCTAGGAAGTGCCTTGCATAACCCGTCTCAAAGACACGCCTCAAAGCCCAAGAACTGCTGCTCGAGCCTCTTCCACTCCCTCCGAGTAGGGTCTAACGAACCCGGATGGCGACAAGAACGACAAATCGATAATATAAGGTCGGGAGAAGTAATAAACGATCGCCCTACTAGCAAGCCTCGAAGACCAGGTAAGGGGATCAGATAATGCGTCGATTTTTCATAAGGCGCGTTGTATCAACCTCGAAAATCCTGCGATGTACCGAGCTTACATCTTTTCGCAGCCTCCGTATTGCTCTTTGCAGAAGATGATCCAATATACTCAGAGTACTGTCCGCAAGCATTACTAGAAGGAACACGGTATCCAATATCGACAACCAGCCGGGTTCTTGGAGCTTTGGATGAGCAGACTCATATCGACAGGCTGCAATGGTTTGCAGCCTGTGCGGTGCAGGCAACTCGGTCTTGGATAAACAGTTGGTACTAAGAGACGAGACCGGCCGACAGGGGCGTTTGAATGAACACCTTGGGCGAGCAGTCACGCAATGCCTTTAGGCATAGGGCTATAGCGTACAAACTAAGAACTTCAACGCGGCAAGTCCAGCTGCACAAACCACATACGCAAAGGTTCTAGGTCTGGTCATCATCAATGCCAGTCGCTATCAAAGTCATTGGGGAGCCCAAAGCACGTTGACATGCTGAAGATCGGAGTCTGGATGTTTGAGGAGGGAGATAATGACGGGCTTCGTCACATCCTAGGTATGTATGATATCATATACAACATACTCGCAATTTATCAATTTACTGATATATCTTACAGGACAAGTCGCCCGCTATATGCGAGCCCTGATCACTACTCGTGCTTCTCTATCGACCTACAATGAGACAATATTTCTACGGAAGGTTGATAGCCAAGGTGTTTGGACTCTGGAGTACTCTCCTATGGTCATGTACGACAATTAGTATGACTCCCAAAGGGGGACAATTACCACGCGGCAAGTGCTATTTTATTTAGCCCTGCAAGCGGAATCTGGATCCGCGTTTGCTGCAAATGTCCTAGGCAATCAGCGGTGGACGACTTAGCCATTTGGCGAGGTACTGATGAGATGGATGTGTGGCGCATTAGGCCACAACCTAGGATATGTTCCGGAATCTGGTCACCTTTTACACAGCACCTGTCCTTTTCGACGTACGATCAAATTATTTTCCTCGGAACGAATGAGATCCGAGAAGTTTGGACTTGACAACCGCACCGATGGAATTGACCACTGGCCTACCTGGACCACGTTTCAATCTCCAGTACTCTCCCATAATCACATACGAGAAACTTTAGTACCCCGAAAGGGGGGCTAAATCTGTATCACGCAGCAAGGGCTTTCCATTTCGCCCTTCGCGGAAAGTCTGAGGCTGTGTTTACCATGAGGGATGATGCTGGAATTATATGTCCAACTACTAACCATAAATTGTATCTATGGATGTTGGACGGTAAAAAGGACATACGTACAAAGCAGTGTAACTAAAAATCTTTATTAAAATTAATTATCAAGTTATACTAACTTGAAAAATCACATACAAAGCCGATTTTGTGCTTGCAATACCAGCCAATAAGACAAAAGCCCGCACTGCGCTAGCATATATACGACTCCCCGCCCTAAATGTCTCGGAATGTTTGGCCAGTCTCAATGTCAGCGCTAGACCAAGTCCTAATCGCGCCCTCCTATACTCAGTCCTTTCCATAAATCAAATCGGAGTGCATGTTAGACATGTCACAATCGTTGAGCTCGGCCCCACGCTTGAAGCCGGATGTTCGCCTCGCACAGGCTGTGTCACAGTTCGAAGCCGAACTGTCCAATGAGCAAAAAGCAAGTTTCCGTGCCTGGAGAACTAAATCAATTGAATCTCCACCTAGTATTCAAGATGTCATGCAACTTACCGCGGAGATTGACCGCGTCCCGGAAAGGAGACGCCGGTGCTTGGGACCACGACTTATGAACGTCCTACAAGCTACCCAGCAATTCGCTGCTTTGGGGGATATCATAGTCGGTGGATCTCAAAATCTGCTTGCATGTGGTGTCTGGTCAATAGTGCGTATTTCGCTTCTACTAGTCCTCGATTTTTCCTCCTATCTAGAGCAATTGTCGAGGATATTCATGACCGCTGGCCGTCTTGCCCCACGCTACGAAAAGATGGCTTTACTTTATCCTCGGTCAAAGGATTTGCAATCTTGTCTTTGTGAATATTTCATTTTGATCGTACGCCTTTGCCATGAAATGACTAGTTTTACACGCAAGTCAATTTTCGGGAAATTGACCTCCGCGCTTGGTGACTCGGATCTGAAGACATATCAATCAGAGCTAGAGTCATGGGGAAAGACAATCAAAGCCGAAGTCGCCTTCTTAATGGCGAAGGGAATTGAGGACGAAGCCGAACACAATTCTCGGTTCAGAGTAGTCTCATCAATATTCCAGAAATCAACTGCATATCAGCAAGCGATTCAAACGAAACAACGAGTGCTAGATTTCTGCTCCCAGTATGATTGCACCGTCTCGTGGAAGCAGGCTCGCAAATCTGGAAACACTAATCTGTTTCGAGAGAGCCCCAAATATCAAAACTGGAAAAGCATGCCAGTTTCTTCCACCCTCGTCTACACTGGAAAGTTGGGCTCTGGGAAATCGGTTCTGCTCGCTAATATAGTGGACGATCTCCACATTGGGAACGAACTGACCCATGTGGCATATTTCTTTTGCCGACATGACGTCTCTGAGAGTCTCAAAGCACGGGAGGTGATTGGCTCCTTAGCTCGTCAGTTACTATACCATATATCAGACTTCACGGCTGCCGCAGAATACTTGGACATAACGCATCAAATTGAACCCATGGAAAGGCTAATGGGCCTTCTTTCAAGCTCTCTCGCTCCTCTTCGACTAAGTAGGAGGTTCTTCCTTGTTATTGATGGATTGGACGAGCTCGACGTGCATCAAAGAGATATCCTGATCCAACAACTATCAGATCTTCAAAGTGAAACACTTGCAATACTCCTCTGCATTTCGCTTCGTGACGATCCAAATGAGAGCCCCCTCAAGACCAACTTCGCACGACTTGCTGCGCCAGTTGTCACAGCGATTCCAAACAACACACCCGACATTGAGGATTTCATCGAGACAGAGTTGGAAAGTCGTATCGAATCAGGAAAGCTCACAATCGGCAGCCCTCTTTTGATTCTAGAAATCCAAGACGCTCTATTGAAAGGATCACAGGGGATGTTCCTTTGGGTAGCTCTCCAAATCGAGTCTTTATGCACCATGGAAAGTGACGAAGAGATCCGCCAAGCTCTCGCAGACCTGCCGAAAGATCTTTCGGCGACATTCTCTCGTACCTTACGGTCAAAATCCCAAAATACCCGCCAAAAGGAGATATTGGCCATTCTGACTGTGGCCCAAACCCCACTCACTCTCCAGCAACTGCGGGAGGCGCTATGTGTAGTTCCTGGTGATTTGAACTGGAATCCGGATAGACTTCTCAACAATATGCACAACACCCTAGCTTCTTGTGGCAGTCTTGTCGCTATTGATGAGGAAGAGTTTACTATACATCTTGTCCACCACAGTGTGAAACAGTTCCTTCTTGGCGAATTCAAAGATTCGACCGAAACCCTAGTCAATGTTGATGACGCTCATCAAATGATGGCAAGCATCATTTTCACCTACCTCAACTACGGCGTATTTGAAACTCGAGTTTCAAAGACCGTAATACCTCAGCTAAAAACTGGGTCCGTTCCCTCAGAGGTGATCCTCTCAACACTCAAGTCATCAACTGGTGTCCGGAATATGGCAATCAAACTCCTCAGATCCCGCAAAGGGTCTGGCTTTGATATTGGAAAGATCATTGCAGAGACGAAGCTCCAGAATCAGCCTACAGAAGAACAGTTCTACTTCCGCAAATATGCAGTATCATTCTGGCTATACCATGCTGTCCACGCCTTTGACCTCCCCGAAGCCATGCACAGGTTATTACTGAGACTTTTAGACCGAAGGGTACCCTTAGGCCTCAACATAAACGACGAAGATATCGACAAACTACTATCGTGGTCCGCAAAAAAGAAACAATATGCATCTTTGATCAAGATATTGCTTGATTCCGGAACCATGACATCAACAGAACGAGATATGACTCTAGATGCACTGCATATTGCTGCGGGTGAAGGACACGGTGCAATGATTCGAGTCCTCTTAGAGCGTGCAAAGATGAATGACATGATGATGTTCGAGGGGTCCCACCCCCAGCAACTACATCTATCCGCTCAAAATGACCTTGAGTTGACAGCACAACAGCCACTTGATTCCAACATGGTCGATGTCAATTCAAGGGATTCCCTGCGTTGGACTCCTTTGCATCGAGCGGCTATGAATGGACACTCTTCGACCGTGATCTTTCTACTTACAGTCGTCAACGCCAATCCTACAACACCCGATATAATGGGACTCACCCCTTTGCACCTGGCTAGCATGAATGGACATTCTGCTGCCATCGAGGCACTCCTTGATCACGGAAATGCAGACCCGCATGCTATTGATAATGAGGGCCGAACTCCTGGTGACCTTGCTCTGGAAAAGCTCGACGAAGAAACCATTTCTAAGCTAGATCCCCGGCTTTTTGGTTCTACCAGAAAAATAATCGATGTTGCCCCCGCCGAAGGAGAGACCTGTTAGTCCATTTGGTTGATTGTATTAATAATTTGAAGAGATGAATGCACGCCAGTCCCTCATCCAGGCTTGAGCGCAATAAAAATCTTCAAAAATGCTCACGAGGCTATTGAGTTTCTCATTGCACATATTAGTCTCTCGAACATAGTATCATGAATTATGCGGTGCGCCGGGCCAACATTGTCAATATCGAACAATAACACAATGATGTAGCCAAGACCTTTTGTAAGATGCTAGAATGAAAAGAAACAGGTCTATGTCATCGATGCCTGGAAACAACCAAGTCGTGCAGACAAAAAAAAAAGAAAAGCCATGAAGCGCCAGGACCAGCCAGGAAGAAAAGCAGGTGGGAAAAAGAAAACAGTCAAGAAATGCTCCAATGAGGGCGTAAACACATCATAGCCCTCCAACACAACACAAAATTTGATGTTCCATTTACATCTGTCGCAATCCCTCTGCAAGACGCCGCTTGCCGAACTCCCAGGCGTTCATTAGGCCCTGTTCCGTGAGATCGATATTCTTCATGTTGGGTGCATCTGCAGCGGGTGCGCGGCTGACACGCGAAGCGATCATAACGGGATCCGTCTCGAGAATGATTCCGTCGTCGATGGTCTCGTCAATAGTCAGGGAGACGAGGTCGTAGTTCTCGACGATAGTGCGCTTGTCGGTTGCGCCCCTGATAGACGATCTTGTTAGCACCGGTCGACAAATTTCCCCGTTACGATCAAAACATAACATACTTGAATAAGATTCCCAGAGCATCCCGTAGTGACAGGACAACATTGTACAGCAGCACCTCGTTCTCGTCGGCGCTTCCAACAACGTAAATCATGACGTCGCTCTCCATCTTGAAGACCACAATTCGGTTATCGTAAAGAATGACATCGCTGGAGGACTTGTTGGTCTTCTCGAGGAGGCCCTTCTCAAAAGCACGCTGCTCCTTCACGGTGGGGTAGGGGTTGGCACCGGGGTAGTCAGTTGAGTTCGGTGCAGCGCCGGCGGGGGGGTGTGGTGCCGAGAAGTACTTTGCGTAGATGCGGGAGCCATCATCGGCGGACATGACAAGCACCGCATTGACGGAGAAGAGAGAGAGAGAGCCGGTCATGGTGATTATTGTTGGGAGCAATTGGGGAAATACTGTCCTTGTGATTGTTGATGCTCTCAACCGCCAATCTGGCCGGAGGCGGAGACGCACTAATGTTGTTCCGTCCGAGCTCCGTGTACTATGCGGGTGAACTGGAGACTGTGTACGTGATTGGGAATAAACTCATGCATATTTGTTTCTCCAACTTAGTGCCAGTACGCAGGCGGCTTCGGTTTATTTGTGCTCTAGTCGTTTGCTGTATTACCGGGGTAATGATGGCAAATTGGCATATATGGAGATATAACCAGCCATTCGTTGGGCTTTGTCCTCAATTGAAATACTACAGTACTGGAATAAGATATACACCTCAAGATTTGAGGATATGACATAAAATGAGTGGAAAGACATCATCGTGAAGGAGACATGGGGAATAATATATATCAAGATAAACAAAAACCGTGATGTGTCAGACTCCCTTCGAAACCTCATCGCATGGGGAAACATCGTGATCAGATCGCGTCAAAGGAAACATGAGAAATCGGGGACCTTGAGATACAGGTGAACATTCAAAGGCATGAGATTGCATTATGTGCATCATAGGGGAGGGGGTATGGGTATGTTAAAAATATGGTCAAAGACCAGTTTAAGATCACATCAAATCATACTGCCCGGGAAACAAGGCTTACTGCGGCGGTGCAGGTTCATCGGTGTTGGAGCGATTCAACCACGGAATCCAGCTCGCGCGGTTTGCCTTCTTGCGTGCCGCTTCCTCCTCTTCCTTGATTCTAGCGGTTTCGCTGACAAGGCGTAGAGGGCGCAATTTGTCTTGCTGCATCACTGCTCCAGTGTAGTTGTTCATGCCGCTACTGGATCGAGGAGGGCTAGAGGTAGCTCCGGTAGAGGCTGTATCTCCGTGGGGATCACTTGTGACACTAGGGGAGCTGCTGCGACCAAACCGCTCGGGTTGGCTGGACATAGACGGTGCACGGCTCATGCTGGATATATAGCTGGCGGCTCCAGAGAACATGCTCTGGCGCGATCCAGGTCCCATTGCAGTCGGGCTGATAGGTCCGCCCGAGTTGCGTCCGCCGCGGTACATGTGACCAACGACACTCGCGGCATGTGGATCGACTTGTTCTGAGCGGCTGCGACGGTGACTAGCCCTCACAGACTGCGTACGGAATGGAATGCTTGGCGCAGTGTTGGGGTTCTCGTTGGGGTTGTTCCCAGATGGTTGCGGTGGAGGCAGCATGCTGGTTGGACGCGACCGAGGTTGGGTTGAAGGGCGGGAAGTTGGGGCACCGACAACCGACTTCGCTCGTTGTAGGAGACTTTGTGAAGAACCGTCATCTTTCTCCGGGGGGGTTGGGGGAAGCTCTTTTTCACTGCCCGCGGTCTTCGTGGTAGAGGTTTCGTCATTCGAGTCCAGAATGTGCTCAAATCCATCATGCATAAGCAGTCTGCTGATAATACGCTCTATATAGAGTGTCAAAGCTTTGTTCTGATCTTTGAGAGCCTTGATCTCTCCGTCCGGTTGAGCGGCATCGGTTTCTGGCGACTCATCCACCGATTCAAGCTCATCGGCTAAGGACCCCAGACCACCTGCCGACTCCTTTGTGGGGTTGGCATCTCGCATGAATTCGCCCTTGGCAAAGTCTCCAGTCAGGGTCTTCTCGCTGAGAAGAAGTTGATAGCTTTCATTGTCTTCCATCAGGCGAGCGTTGGCCACGCGGGCCTCGAGCAAGTCTTTCTCGAGTTCTCGCTGGCGGCCACCACCAGCGTTCTCCATCTCAACGAGTTTGATCTGTGATTCAGCCAGTTCGAGGCGTAATGACTCGATGAGTTTGTCTTTCTGAAGGAGAAGTGTAGAGTTGTTGCGGGACGGGCTGCGCTCGATGTGGGATGAGGGCGCAAATTGACCATCCACGTCCGGGGAAGATCGATTGCGGAAGCTCGCTATACGGGAGGTCAGTCTTTGGATACAATCAGCGGCGTGTGTAGGAGTATGGGTGTCTTACAAGATCGGGAGACCTGGCTGCGATCCCCTTCTGCATTCATGCGCTCCTTCTGTGCCACCGAGTCCTTCAAACGTTGAATAGTCGCCTGCATTTCTTCCTCCCGACTAATCTGTTGTTCTTTCTCTTGGAGCATAGCATTCCGCTCCGCCTCGTGGTTCTGTTCTAGATCCCGGATCTGACGACCCTGGTCCCGAATGTCACTGTTAAGGGCCTCAATCCGACTATCACGCTCATGCGCCTGATCCTCTAACTTGGTTTGTTCACTGATCGCTTCATCGAGGCGCATTTGCAGGACGCCGAGCTGTTTTTGGTATTGTTCGGAAGCATTTTCGGCCTTCTGGAGTTGTGCCCGCAGTTCCTCGATGAGGGCGGCATTCTGAGCCCGCGCCTCTTCCTCGGAGGGGTCGTTGGAAACTCGTGGAACGTTTGACATGCTGAGATTGGAACGGCCAGGTTTTCTTGCAGCTGCGCGCGCAGAGACAGGAGTTGAACCTCTTAAGGAGGGGGAGCGGTTGAGACTGTTGGTTGCGCTGGGCGAGCGTGCATGCCCTCGTGTGGACCCGTTGTTGGACTGCGGATCTGCGGTCGATGATTTGCTGGAACTGCCGGGAGTTCCAGGCTTTCGAGGCGTTGCTGACATAGTGAAAGGCGCCGAGTCCAACGCTGGCGAATGTATAAGAAAATAAAACGTATATAACCCCCTATTTTGCTTCAATTGGGGAAGGGAAAAGAAGATTCCAGGGTTGCAAGTGTAATTAAGAGCGGTCAAAACTGAGTGGACACCTTGTGGAGCTTGTATGGGAAGCCCGAGGGCCAGGAATGTAGTTGAAAGCTGTCACAGGTTGATTGCGTGCCACATGGTTGATCGGAGTTGAAGATTCATCGGAAGCAATGGCATGAAGGTCGGAATGAGAAATAAATTGAGGAAAAGTGATGGTTGCAGGCCTTAAATCAAAGTTGTCTTGTTAGGGAATGCGGATCCCCTTACTGTATTCTAAAAATACGCAACGGCTTTGGGGGCTGGAGCAATACGAGAGAGTAAGGACTTTCTAGAAGAGGGAAAGAGAAAAGCAAGAGGGAGTTACTGAAATAAGGAGATTGTAATTAAATTTATTATTTTACAGTTAATCTACTAGGGGATAGCCTGTTGATATGGCATGAGCCCATGAAAGAGCCAATACAAGCGCATTTAGCCGTTTCTGAAAAGGAGATTTATGCCTCAGGCACCTCGGAATAATGTACTTCCCTCTCCACACTTAATTGAGATCTCCATACTCCGTACATGCGGTACATATTGTACTCCGTACGCTCTACACCCACTTCAATCCAGGTTACTCCGTACAGAGTGCTTACATTGCAGTTGTACTTTACACCCCTGAGAGTCCTCAACAACTTGAAACCTAACTTAGGCCTTCAGCACACATATCCCGATATTACATCTCCATCGTCAGCATGGCGGCCCAACAGGTGATAACACGTCAATTACAGAAGCTCGTCCTATCGACGAAGTCCATCAAAATCACATAAATGCTACACATATTATGAAAACTATGCACTCGCGCAAGGCCAAGTCAGTTGTTGTTGCTGCTAACAGTCCCAGTTCGAGTACTACGTATGCGTACGGATGCATGCAGTATTCGCCAAGACCCTAGGGCATCATCTCTCGGGCAACCACATGAGTTTCTTTGTTATCGCGCCAAATTCGGAACAACTTGGGCTAATAACAAAAATGGATAACACATCAAGTTGGGTACCACTTGCGCCACCAGCAATCGAAATCGGGTTGACTTGGACATCCTCTCGCACTGTTTAAGTGGACTAAGGGGAGAGCAGGGATGACAACGATGGATCGAGCTCTGCGTACTCCGTAGAGAGGATCTGATTGGTGGGAGTGATCAAATCCC